ACAAGCTTTGGATGAGATTGATTTGGGTACTAACTCCATTCCCATCTGGCATGACTGGCCTAATGTCTATTAAACTCTTTATTGCAATGCCGTGGTCTTTCTTTGTGCAGCAGGTAGGAAGAATCCCTCAGGCAGTGACTCTACCATTCCCCTTATTTAATCAGCAGCAAGAGTGTTCACTGTATTGTGTGAAGATTTTTATAAGCAAAAGTACCCAAAGAAGTAAAACCTTCATTTCTCAGCTTCTGAGTTTTAAAACAGAAATTTTAAACTCACAGGGGAAAATATAATTGAGAAAAAAGGTTTTGAGTGTAGGAAAAAAAAGTGACTCTAAGTATCCACAGAGGCTTAAAGGACTCAGGGCATTAAGATTACTGTGTGAAAAATTTAGAGGATGTACATGGAAATAAGAGCCAGTTTTCCCACTCCCAAATAGGTACAGGGCCTATACCCCAAAGGCAAGTGGGAACATCAGAGGAGTTGGTAACCAACCCTGAGAAGGTGTCCTGAACCTACCCCACTGAGCTGAACACCAAGGGCCGGGATTGGGGCTGGAAGAACAATAGCCAAGGGTCAGGGATGGGGACAGAAGAACAGCAGAATTCTCAGGGATGTGAAAACAGAAAGCATGTGTCTCACTTCCCAGCGTCCCAGCCAAGACCCAAGATGCACCTGAGGGGTTTCAGCGGAAGGGTGGGGAAGTAGCTTACAGTGCTGATGAGCCTAAAGATGCCTTATAGTTGGAACAAGGAAGATGCAAAGTGACCCATGAAAACTGTAACTAAGACCACAGGGAACCCTAAATATCACAGCAACGTCAGAGTCAATGAATGACAACACCCAGGCCAGGAGTCCCCTACCCATTAGCACCGACATTGTGAAAACCTTCCTGAAATTTTTACGTAATCCTGGGAAGAGGAGAGAAATTACTGATTTGACAGAATTTATATTGATTGTCCAATAAGAAATCAGTTTTACAAGGTTAAATGCAGGCATAGAAATGAGATTATGCTGAGTCATCGAAATATAAAGATAATCATATCTATATCTATCTATATATCTATATATATAGATATATAGATATCTCACACCTCTGTAGCCTGGGAAATTTCAGGCTGTTACAAAAGTCTAGCAAAACCATTGATTTTTAAACTTAATTAGAAGAAAGCTACAAAGTAGAGAAAGGTTTGCAGAGAGAATGCCAACTTTTAGCTTCACGAGATCAGACCCTCAGAATACTGGCCCCAGTAATAACCCAGCTAGAAATAATTAGAGTACACAGAAAAGTAAGTGATTTTGATCTCAGAATCCCGGAAGGTAACCTTTAAGTAATCAGCTTTTAGAACAGGCTGTTCTGAAGATCAGAAGCACCAAGTGAGCAAGCAAATTGACAATCCTGAGCAGTAGCTAAATGAGCAAAAAGGTTGCTAAGGCTATGGAAGGATCCAGTATAAGGTGGTTTCTACTTATTTATTTTACTCAGTAGGAAAAATCAAGGTCAAAATTGAGTAGTAGTTAAAAATAGTTTAAATTTAGTACTGAAGATGTCACAGTAGTTATGTTTGTTTCTCAATATGGGTTAAATTTTGTCTTACATTTTCTGTACAAATATTAATAATTAGAAACATTTTGTGTTTATGTTATTTTAAGATAGGTTTATATAATGTGTACATAAATAAATGAAATATAGACACATTATTAATATATTACATATTATATGATATGTCATTAAGTATATAAATTAAAAGAATATACATATATACATAACAAAATTATACATATGAATTCCTACACTTCATTTAACATTTCTTTGGTTAACTTGGTCTAGAGTGAGCCTAACTATTTGATCTACCCAGTCCAAGTCAAGCAGAATAACACAATAAATCAAATTAAATGGCGTACGTGCTGAGCTATACCTCATATGTATAATGAGTTCCAAAAACATTGACTCATATGTATAATGAGTTCTAGAAGCACTGACTGGTCTAAACATTGACTAGGTTCATTTTTCAATATGGGTTGAATTTTAGCTTAAATTTTCTGCACAAATATTAATAATTAGAGATGTTTTGTATTTAGGTTATTTTAATACAGGTTTATATAAACAAAATACAGACACATTCTTAATATAGTATTACATATTATGTGCTATAATATCACTTAGTATATAAATTAAAAGAATATACATATATATGTAACAAAATTACACATATGTATTCCTACACTTTGTTTAACATTTCGTTTAACCTGGTCTAGGGCGAGCCTATTTGATCTACCCAGTCCAAGTCAAGCAGAATAACAACAAATCAAATTAAATGTATATGCTGAGCTATACCTCATATGTAGAATGAGTTCCAGAAGCATTGACTAGACAAACTGCTCACTCCTCAAGAATACACAAGAGAACACGATGCTAGAATGTGAGAGGGTCAAGTTGAGCAGTTCAACTGACAGGAGAGATGATTTATTGAGCAAGGTCAACAAAGTGTCAAGGCCAATGACATAATAGGGGATGGCAAACAGAGAGGTGAGTGGGATGGCAAAAAGAAAGCACATTCTCAGACATTGCAGCAACTGTATGCTACGTCAAACTACAGGGCAACAAAGTAAACTTCAATGTCACATACCAGTGTGATGAATGTCCACACATCATTTCCTGGGCACACTTCCATAAACTATTGAAAAGCAAAATTTTCATCATTGGAACAATTGCCCAGTTTCCAAAATAGTACCTGATACAAAGTAGGATTTGCATTAAATCTAATTCAACTTTAACCGGGATTGATTTATTTAAATTTCTTTTTTGAAAGTTGCAGATAAGAGCTAAAGGGAGAGCCAGAAATGAAGAACCTAACTCATAATGCTTCATTTTGTGAAAATATTTTCCTACTTTATAGCCAATTATAAGACAGAAGAAGATCATGCTTCCTGAATCTGCATTTTTGTCCAAGAACTGTTCTATTATTAAGCTATCAGTATAGATTTAGAGTGATGAAAACGTTCCTCAAAGCTTCCTCTACTCGGCATGTAGACTTTGAGCATCACAGTCAACTGGAGCCATCAGGAATCTAGCTCACAATATGTAATATGGTTTGGCTGTCCTCCCACCCAAATCTCATCTTGAATTGTAGCTCCCATAATTCTCATGTGTCATGGGAGGGACCTAGTGAGAGGTAATTGAATCATAGGGGCAGGACTTTCCCATACTGTTCTCATGATAGTGAATAAGTCTCACAAGATCTGATGGTTCTATAAAAGGGAGTTCCCCTGCACACGCTCTCTTGCCTGCCACCATGTAAGACATGACTTTGCTCTTCATTTGCCTTCGGCCATGTTTGCTAGGCCTCCCCAGCCATGTGGAACTGTGAGTCAATTAAACCTCTTTCCTTTATAAATTACCCCATCTTAGGTACATCTTTATTAGCAGTGTGAGAGCAGACTAATGCAATATGCAACCAAGAGATCTTTGCATAACTCCAAAAATTCTGCAATTTGGAGAGAGGCATATTACTAGAACCAAGGCTCTGACTTACTAAAAAGCCATCTGTTATATGGAGGGAACTGTGTTTCTCTGGGTCCCTGAGACCAGTGGTCTCCAAAGTAAACGTGAGAACACTTGAGGGTAGGATAGCAATCAACATGATTGATTGGGATACAGGAAGAAGTAATTATAACTTCAATCTACCTTTATTTTTATCTTTAAAATAGAAGACAAAAATTGGGGGGTTAAATAAGAGGGTGTTAATATTTAATACAAAGCTTGATGGTATTACCTGTATGTCATTTAATATTGAGGGCATGTGTTGGAAAATATTTTTTCAGTATAGGGGCAAAAAATCATGAACATGTGAGGACCACTGCTTTAGACTTTACCAGTAATACCTAACAGTCATAAGGAAAAAGGAGAAACCACGGTTGCTTTAACACCTTCTATGCACCAGATGACAGAATAATATGCTTTCTCTCTTTGAATTCCCACCATAACCCAATGAGACAGATATCACTATTCCTGTTACAGAAGTGAGGAAATAGAGATTCAAGAAAGCTAAATATCTAGCTCTAGGTCACAAACCTGGCAGGTACTGGTGATGGGATTAAACTCTAGTCTTGTTCTTTTCCTTACTCCACAATATCTAAAGAACTGCCGCCTCTGAAACTATCATTTACCAAGGTACTCAAGCCTGCAGAAACTGCTCGTGTTCTTAACACAAGCTTCCCATGGGAAAGCACATGTGGTAAACTCTTACACTATAAATAATTCAGGTGGTAGAATGTCCCTAATGATGTCCCAAAGTCCATACAACACAGTAAATACTGTGAGGCATTATATGACTCATAAAAGTTATCCTTATTACTGAAATAATGAATATGAATCCATAGTACCGTATTTAGTAGAGAAAATAAGGCCTCAATGGATGGGTTATACAAATTTGGTAGATATTAAAAATGGGTGTGTGTGTGTGTGTATGAGAGAGAGAGAGAGAGAAGAGAGAAGTGGGGAAATAGAGACAGAAAGAGGAGAGAGATACCACAAAGAAAGGCTTAGCCAATCATCAACAAAGTTCAGAATTATGTAAAGAATAGAGATTCTAAGTTCTCTCAGTCTCCAACGTTCCCTATCCATTTTTTTTTCTTTTTTTCTTTTTGAGACGGAGTCTCGCTTTGTCGCCCAGGCTGGAGTGAGCGGCACGATCTCGGCTCACTGCAAGCTCCACCTCCCGGGTTCACGCCATTCTCCTGCCTCAGCCTCCCGAGTAGCTGGGACTACAGGCGCCCGCCCCCTCACCCGGCTAGTTTTTTGTATTTTTAGTACAGATGGGGTTTCACCGTGTTAGCCAGGATGGTCTCGATCTCCTGACCTCGTGATCCGCCAGCCTCGGCCTCCCAAAGTGCTGGGATTACAGGCGTGAGCCACCGCGCCCGGCCTGTTCCCTACCCTTTTTACCCTATGAAGTTGTAAGTGGTCAGAAAACACGTGTGTAAAATATTAGTGCAGTTACCTTTGTCAGTTTCATTTCCAGAACATGACTGCCGTGGATCCGACTGTCGAAATGAGCTACTTCTTTGGAAGAGGACTTAACCTTGGCAATGATCTTTACGTAGGAGAACACGATCACAGCCGTTGGGAGCAAGAGGCAGAAGAAGAGGATGTTCAGGATGAAAACCTGGCCCCCTACCGAGGCCTGGGCCAGCCACCAGTCCAGGGTGCACGAGGTTCCGAAGGGCTCAGGTGCGTAGTCCCCCAGACCTACCAAGGGCATGGTGGTCCAGAAGGAAGCATAGGCCCAGATGGCTGCCAGGCAGATGTAGGCGTGCTTTCTTTTCAGCCAAACCCCTGGAGGCGGAAGAAAAGCATTACCCGGATGTAATCTGCCCTACACCCAGATACCTCCCCTCGATATGTCAAATTCCACCTCCAAAGATTTATTCCATTGATTTCTGGGAGACCTGGGCAGATAACTGAAGCCTGAGGGAGAGTGGAGTAAACGGAAAAAAGTTCCAGAGCTTGGGCCTTTCTCCAGGAGAACACAATTGGAAGGTTTTCTCTAGGCATCTGGGAGCTTTGGGAGGGAGAAGTGACAACAGCTGGGAAAAGGGACAGGAAAGAGATGAGAGGATGCTGAAGACAATGGAGGCCCTTGAGAAAACATCTCGGAAAGGGTGTGTTAGTGGATCATCCAGGGAAAATCCTTCTGGGAGGTGAGGAATCACAGAACGTGGCTTGTGTCTTTAAAATGCCCTTCCTCCTAACAGCTTTTGTGTTGCTAGTCTCATCTGGCTTCCTAAGAACTTGTGGAAGGGGCTTGGTGGCTCGTGATCATTACACAAATGGTTTGAGATTAAAGTGCTTGACTGTGTTTAGTAATTTGTGGAGCAGGTTTGGAATCTTCAAACATCATTCACACAACAATCGCACTCACACAGCCACAGCGGGAGAGGCAGAGAATCTAGGTAGGTTGCATCATGTTCTGCAAAGTAATTCTGTGAAGATATTTTCAGGAAGACAAAAAATGAGCTCCGTTTTTCAGCACTAGTTTCTGTTAACCAAAAGAGAATTCCAAGCGGAGGAAATAGTGCAGTCATCTAAGAAAAGCTGTAAAGCACTAGTGATCATTTTCAGAGTTCAACACAACCACCAAAGACAGATCGGCCTTATTAAGTGCAGCAGTCTCCACAAGAAATTACCTTCACACCTCACTCATCACCTCAAACGAAGAGGGCCGGGAAAGTGACTCTTTACTGCCTAGGTTTTGTGTCAGCAGAGAAGAAATATCAAAATATATTCAATAAAAGCTATATGATTACTTCGATATAGACTGAGAGCCTGCCTCTGCTTAGTGCAATGTGAGGTTTGGAAAGTCAGTAAGGCCTAATTCTTCTGTGTCTAGTCTTTGACTGACCTTGTGCATGCAAGACTATGTTGCATATGGGTTAAATAAAATAATGTAAGGGGCCTGCTTTGCAGACTAGAAGGTGCTACATTAACGTGAAAGTTTTACTCCTGTGTAAGTATATCTCATGTAGCGCTAACAAGAAATATAACACATTGTTTCTATACTCTATTGTCTCCATTTTTTTTCAAATATGTGGCATTTTGTGTCATGAAATGCAAATTTCATGCCCAACCAGATAGGGGTAGCAATCATGTAGCCACATTATAACTCAGCTCTTGCTTCTCCACTAAAACCAATGAAACATTGGCACAGGTAATCACATATATTCATGGGAATGTGCATAGGCATACGTATAAGCATTTATGGTTAGGGTTACTTGTGAGGTGTTTTATACTTACATTCCAGTATGGTGAAAGGCTGTCAAGTACAGGAGGGAGTAGATTAGTAGATTGGTTCTGTGTTGCTCCAGAAGTCAGAACTAGGACCAATGGGTGGAGGTTACTGGGAGGCAGTTTTGTCTTAATATAAGGAATAACATTGTAACAATGAGAGCAGACCAATCAGAGAATGGGCTGCCTTGTGCAGTAGTAAGCTCCCCGTCACTGGTCACTGGAATTATTCAAGAAGAGGCCAAGTGGTCGTCTCTCAGGGATGCCTTAAAACAGTTTACCACGTTACATGGGAGAAAAGTCTACCCGTCCCCAAGCGACCTTCTAATTCCAACATTCTGGGACGCTGTGTGGAGGGTTTAATAGTGCATCAGATTAAATGATGAAACCACACTACTGAGGTTCAACCTTAGAAGAAGCTGGAAAACATACACAGTTCCCACATATGGAGTTACGGCCTGCAATGATCCTGGGAGTGGGCGGCATCATCTCTTTAATTGACAAAGCCTAAACTCAAGAAAATATTTAAAAACAGAGGTATCAGGGTTTAGTATTCCTCAAACACTCTCAGGAAGTTTAACTATTTTGCCTTCTTATCTATAAAATCTACAGTTAAATTTAAAATCTCTTTGGTATGAGCAAAAATAAGTCTATAGAAAGAATTAGATGTTGACGTCACACAGAATATGTATAGTTGTATATTTTATATCTTACTGGAAATTTTGATTCAAGCTATTTCTATTGGAAGTTTTAAATGTTTAAAAACGGAGATGTAAATTAAAAAAAAAAAAGTAGTGCTGGATGATGAAGAGGATGGCTCACAAGCCCCCGCCTCCCACCCACCCAAGAAGGGATTCTTTGGAGTTTGGGGACTGTAATCTATAACAATATAAAGGGAAATTCTACCACATTGACAGTGTCGGGTCAACTTGATTTTTCCCATCTCAGTCTCCAGGCCCTGCTCTGACACCACAGTCTGTCACCCGTCACAACCACTCTAATCGACAGATTGACAATCAAAGCAACTTTATGCAGAGGAAGCCTGTACTATTGCTTGGTTTGTGCCTGGTTCTCAATATTAAACTTAAAGGCCCAAATGCAGTTCTCTCAGGTTTAAAAAATTCCGAGAGCTCCAAGAAACAAAAGTACTAGAAATTATTTTTAACCTGTAGAATGGTCTAATCATTAAAAAGCATATATTTAGGCCCTGGAAACTTATATTCTGCTGATTCACCAATTCTTGTAATCACTCATCTTTCTACCAACCAACGCCACAAAAAAAAATATGTTGAGTGATATTTATACATGTGTGTCCTTGCATGCAGAAACAGCTACATGACTCTAACTTGGAGGTGAACTTTCTGGAATTCCTTATCTCTGAAATTACAGGGAGCGTGAGTCCTAAGGGGGAATCTTAAACAGCTTTTCTTACAATTACACTTACTAGGTGGGGAATGAGCTAACCCTCTTGGACTTAACACCCTTTCGATGCACTTTATTTCTTTTGTTTGCATGGAAAACATGATGGAAGCTTACACACTATACAAGAAAATGATACTTTTTTAAAGCATTGTAACCAAACACCAGACATTACTATAAAATACGTATTAAAAGAAGTCTACTTTGACATCGGTTAAAATCCTTAAACATGTCAGAACAAGATGATAGGCTATAAATAGAAATATTCTTCATCTCTGAGGTTATTCATAGTCTTTGTTTATTACCTGCATAAAACATGTACAGTTCTAACACTCAATCCACCTAGCTTTAACTGTCAGGGAATGAGAAACCTGCCAACTTACCATAAGATAAATAGCAGATTTTCAAATATCGATCCAGGCTGACAGCAGTCATGGTGATAAGGCTTCCACAGCCAAAGAAAAATCCAGCCCATCCATACCAGCGGCAGCCAATCCAGCCAAACACCCAACGGTGGCAGAAGCAAGAGATGATGGTGAACGGCTTGCCTACAACTAGAGCACCAAGTGACTTGTCAACAGAGGTTCCTCTGGTTACTATTTCCCCTCCTACCTCAACTCACCTGAACCTCCTCCCCTAAAGCACAAGGCACATGTGAACACACACACACACCCTTTCCTAGATTAATAAAAGTCCAGCAGTTATCTATGAATAAACTCAGTTTGGAGCTACCCAGAGAGGACTTTCAGTCATCCCAATAGCCAAAGAGAGTGAAAGGATATAGAAGGAAAACGTTTAAGTAAGTATTACTTTTGAAAAAACTGTCTCAAAGAGACCTGGTTTCAGGAGTTACAGACACGATACTAGCAGCCAGTGACAACGATCTTGTCACTTTTAACATTTTAGTGCAGTCCTTCATTCGAAAGGTATAGAGAAAGGGGCAATATATAAAACCTCTGAGAGAAAATACCCTCTTCAAGCACAACTTTTCTGTTCTACAGAAGTTCTTTCTCACACTAGTCTGTTCAGATTTTTTCTTTTTACCGGAAATAGACGTTAAGTTTTATTAAATGCTTTTTCTGCATCTACTGAGGTGATCATAACATTTTTTCTCATTGAATTGGTTAATGCTGGTTGTTAATAGATTTGTTTTTGAAACATACTTACGTTCCTGGGACCAATGCAACTTTTCTTAATAATAAAACTCCCAGAAAATTGTCTCAATGAATGGAGGAAAGAAGAGATGGAGAAAGAGAAAATGAAGAAAAAGAGGAGAAAGACAAAAATATATGCAAAATAGTGATTTCCATCCACCTCATCTTCCTCCAAGTGGGACATTTTAGAACCTGTATAAGGCATGAGATTCCTTATAATGAAAAGGGGAATTTGGTTTCCGTTTTCTTTTGGCAGCTGCATCCTTCTAGGAGGAATGTGGTTTCTAACACCCCAAGATAACCTTGTACTTTAGGAGTTAAGTGTCTGTGAATGGGGTTTGGGAGGGGAAAGAGAGAGGTTCTCTATCAGAGAAAGCCTTAGTTACAGAAGCAGGGAACTAACTGCTGTGAATATAGAAAAGGGGGAGGTTTAACAGCACTCTGGAGAATAAAGATTCTAAAGAGCACTGGGGAAAGAAGGTGTGAGTTCCAGACACATTTTAAAGAATGATGTGGACAACTTTCTCTGAAATGTGAATTTGTCCTTTTATTTATTTAAAAAATAGAACATATTTAGTCTTTTACTATTTCCTTGTTATTATCAATGAATAAAGAGGGCTTAAGAAACCCCAGAAAGTTGAATATTCACAGGGAAGCAATAGGATGGGGGGAGGTGAAGTAGGGAGAATAATTATATAGCCCAGCAATTTTCATGTGTATTCCTGCCTAGACCCCAGAGGATTCATGGAGCTCTTCTACAAGTGAGTGAGAGAGGGAGAAAGAGAGAGAGAGAGAGTGGAGAGTACCCTGAAGGGGAAGTAGGTATGTCATTTAGGGAAAGAAATATTAAACAGCCAAGGCTCCATGCTCCACCTTCTGTCAATCAGGAAAGATAATTTTTTCACCCGTTTTATATATTCAGCTTCTAAGTCGTCTTTTTTCAAAGGAAAAAATTCACTGTTTTAAAAAATTTGTTTAGAAATTTTGTTTAAAAATCCTTTTTGTTGAGGTTAGAACCAGATTTCCACATTTCCTTCTGTTTCAGTTCTTTCTTTCTTCTTCTGTTAAGTTATGTCTTATTCAAATATGGTATAGCTATTTCAGTAAATGTGAGGTCCAAGCTATTTACAACCAGATCCAGATTCCCAGGATTTAAACTATTTATTCCTCGGGACTCCATTAGAATTTTTTTTTTTTTTTTTTTTTACTTTTAGAAAGCATTCTTCTACTTTTACACAATACCCTGTAGCCCTCCCTATTCAGTTATTGTATTCAGTCCCCCAAATAAAAAAATAAAATGTGCTGAGGAAGCTCTTCAAACCTCTAACTGAACTATATCACAGAGAAGGTTCCCTAACCTCAATGCTTTAAGAAAGCTAAGTAACTGATATTCACAGCCTTCAGGTGCTAGCGCCCAGCCCTCCCAGGTGTATTACTCTATGGTATACAAAAGTATTCAGGAGTTCCTGTTAGTTCAGTCAATCAACACATATGTACTGAGTGCCTTCTGCAAGCTGGACACACATCTCCTCTAGTTGTCTAGATGGCTAGTGCCACCTTTCAGCTTGCTAGACTGGGTGCCCTCATATGAGAGCCTCCTAATTCCAGTAAGTCCACAAGGAAATGGAGTGTAAAATAACTATTTGGGTTTGTGGGGTTTTTTCCCATTCAACAACTAATTTTTCAATGCCTAGTGTTTAAGAAACACAGAGCAAGGTTCTAGAGGACAAAGTGAACATCAAGACTGACAAGTTTATTTTCTAACAGGAAAAGCAGACACACTCAAAAAAACCTAAATGTGTAATATAAGATGTGGTATGACAGAATGATAGGTAGTGATTAGTACAGCGAAGGAAAATAAAGCAGAGAAGGCAGGTAGACGGAAATCGTTGTTTTACGTAGAGACCTTAGGGAAGACTTCCCTGAGATGTGACATTTAGGTAGATACCTAAATCGGTGGGAAAGAAGTCAAACAAACTTGTGGAGGGAAAGGATTAGAGGCAGAGGAAACAGCAAACTAAAAGGCTTGAGGTGGGTGTCAGCCAGGTGGGTGCTAAAGGCAGCAGAAAGGCAAGTGAATGTGACAGAATGGAGTAAAATTACATCTGTTGTGCCTGGGATCCTGATTAGCAAAAGCGATTTCAGGCTTCCTTCTTCAGTAGAGCTTTGGATTAACCTTTGGGGTGTCATCTAGAATGTCTCTCTCTCTTCCACTTAATAGAATGTTTCCGGAACCCAGTTGCACATTAGCATCGCTGGAGGGGTTGTTTTGCTTTGCTTTGAAATATCAGCATCCAGGGTTCCATCCCTCCCCACAAACCTCCCAATATTGTCACTTATCTGGAGCGAGTTCAGGCATTTTAACACCTCCCCCCGCCCCAGGTTATCCTAATATAACACGACTTTCTCCTAAGAGGTTAGCCTAATATAACACGTGTATATAATAGGCACGACTGGGAGCCCTTGATATTTAGTCAACAAGTATTAGTGGCATAGATGCCATACATCTGGCCTCTAGGAGGTGCTTATAATGGAATATAGCTGAGCAAGAAAAAAAAAGCAGGCAAAGTTTTAAGGTTTATTGGAAGGGAAAATGTATTATAGATGCTCAGAAGTTGAAAAAATGATCTGGGTTAGAGAAAGCTGTTATATGAAAGAAAATGGTTTCTGGTGAATTACTCTGAAGACATAAGCAGAATAATGAGGTGGTTTGTGCCATTCTAGAGCCGACTTGCTTGGCTGAAAGCATGTTTCAATGCATCAGGCCAATTAAGGACATTTTTATTCAAGCCTAGTCTAATTCAGCAATGAGCCTGCTATTATTCACCGATGAAGGAGGTAGCTGGAATGACAGGTTTCATTCAGGCATGTTAAACTCAATACCAGATAGAGCACCTGAGGGGACCGCGGGGCGAGCTGGCCGGGAACGCTGCCGTTCCTGTTGCGACACCGCCATCGCGTGGCAACGAGTGAAAATGGCAGCCATTTTGCAGCCTCACAAATCCCCTGGGGTTCGTCCTGATTGTTTTCACAACACCAGGCATGTCGTGTTCTTCTTAATGTGCATGTGCATTCATCATAAGGGTTCATAATGTTTATGCAGGTCCATACTCAGTAAAGCCTTCCCAGATAACCCAGACCATCGAAACCCTGAGTGAGCACACATCTGCTATGTGCTAAACTGTGACTCAGAACGCGGAGGATTAGTATTGAGCCTTGTTTTTAGAGATCGGCAGAAAAATCCACTTATGAAGAGAAAAACAAATATCAGAAAACTCTTTTTTTTAATTAAGGTCTCGCTTTTTCACCCAGGCTGGAGTACAGTGGTACTATCATAGCTCACTGCAGCCTTGAACTCCTGAACTTCATCAAGTCCTAGCTATTTTTTGTTCATTTGTTTTCTGTAGTTTTACCCAATACCCAGACTTCAAGGATAAATTTGTTTTGTAGAGATGAAGTCCCACTACATTGCCCAGGCTGATCTTGAACTCCTGGCCTCAAACTTGATACACATCTCAGCCTCCCAAAGCTTTGGGATTACAGGTGCAAGCCACTGTGCCCAGCCAGAAAACATTTTTTTAAAAAGGCTTTTGATAGGAAACCACTAACAAGTTTCTAATGGTAAGAGGAGCTGCTGTATACTGTTCAAACAGATTACCCGACTCTAATGACCTAAAACTAGAAGATAAATAGCAGGTGTTGGGATTCAAGGACAGATTAGAGTTCATCTAAGCAACTCTGAAGTTATACACAAGAAGGTGAAGAATGATTTACTTAAAATGGTTCGTATTTTTAAAAGTGAATTATAGTGAAGGAGAAATCTTATTCCAATTCCTCCTTGCCGTGTTATTAGAGAAGTGAAAAAGAAGCCAGTGGTTCTCAATTTTAGCCACACATTAACATACCTGTAGATTCTCATCTTAAATATCCTGATGCCCAGGTAACATTCTCAACCACCTAATTCAGAACTTCCCCAGATGATATTTTGTGAGTTGCGTTTGAGGACCACTGAACCAGAGGCCTGCTATGCTTCAGATGTGTCACTAAGTCATGATTACATATATCATCAGCAGGGCACTTCTTTCCTCTTCTTATATTCACCTCTCAACTGTCTTCAACTGTCATTTACCCTTCCAGATTCCTGTCGATGTTTATTTTAATCAGACTTCCATAAGGGTTGAAGAGGTGTAAAGAAGCTTAAAATATTGACCCGGGGACTTGCCTCCTGATTTCTGATTTCTGAATCATTTAGCCCACTACACTTTGAGACATCTGAGGTATCATGTATTATTTCAAATTGTGCCTTCAGCATCTAACATGCCTGACACACAGAACAGACTCAATAAATATTAAATGAATCATCTTGTCAATTGGACAGCACCCCATTGATTTACCACAAAAGTCTGAAAGATGATTTGTGAAGCAAAGAGTGGAAGGAGATGTGAAGGGAAGAGATGTCAGGAGGTGACGTCTGAGACAGTGAGTACTTTAGAATGGGGCATAGTTTAAACCCACAAAGAAAAAACAGCATGGTTGTGTTACCTGAAATCCCCAGATCACAGACAGCTAAATTGATAGTCATTATTTCAGCGGGTCTCAGCTTCTTCTTTCGTCTAGAAGACATATAAAGGACATATCCATTTCCAAATGTAGACAGAATCCCTACAAGGAAAAATAAAAATTCCCATCGTTAACACTGGGATTTAGAGTTCACTCAGATATGAAACACTTCTCAACTTCAAAAATGGACACCATAGATTTAGAGGGTAGTGAGAGGACTCTAAATAAAAAAATCTAAATTAAGAAGATGAAATAAAAAGCATGAGTTGTGAGTGACAGGCCAATGGGGCAGGAGTCAGGGATGATAAGGCTGAACTTACCCAGAAAAAGGCATCGCTAACTTCCCCGCGAGGCTCAGGAAAGTGTGGGAGTCCCAGTGGTCAGTTCTTGTCCTGGCCCCCAGGGGTGGAGTACTTTCCTCAGCCATTTTTATAGATTATTGGCTTTATAGAACTCCCTCCCTCTGATCAGTAGGGTTAAACCCTTAGCTCTTGATAAATTCTGAAGATGAAGCCAACCAAAGAAGGTGCCTTCAGCATCACTGTGAACTCCTAAGGGAGCGCCAGTGTTCAGGAGAGGCAGAGGCCAGGTATGGCTGGTGTAACTCCCTTCAAGAAAATGGACATCTCCCAGAGAAGCCCCAGGACTTTTGCCTCTTTGGGAGACATGGACACTGAGTGTCTGGCAGATAGGACAGCCTTCAGCTGCTACTGGACTAGACATCAAGGGTAAGTGGGTGACAATCGAGAACCTGGGCACTGTCCCTCCCACCAAGGGGAGAGAAAGTGACCCTCAACCCACCGAACCTACCAACAATGCCAGAAGTGTGTTCCCACTTTTTCATATCCTTTTATTAATGACTAATTGCCTTTGGCATTACAATGAAACTGTTCGAAAGTTCTTACACACCCAGTTTAAATCCAAAAAGACCCAATCCCTACTGACTTTATTTAAGAAAAGAATACACCTACTTCCATAGCTTAACATGTAGAGTAGATTTTCTTCAGGAATTCTTGCTTCATAGTGTAGCTGTGTATAAATGAGAATCTGGTACAGCTGCCTTTAGTAGTAAGGAATAAGGAGAGTATTAACAGGAGAAACCCAGAGTTTTCTGTTTTAATTTCTACTTCTCCACCACAATTCATTTTGGGGGCAAAGAAAGAAATGTGTGATTCAGCTGATGGTGTGAAACCACCAGGAACTAACTGCATTGTGCTCTTAGGAAATTCTGACTCCCTGGAGTCAGCACTGCCTAATGGTCCATTAAAACCTCTTTAGCTTTCATAAAGCAGAAGAAGAGAAAAGTAAAAGAGATTACGGAGTTCCAGAGCAAACCAACTATAATGAAACTTAGGGCTCACTCAAGGAAACCAGCTAGGAAAGCAAAATGAGAAAACGTGGCCTGAAAAATTATAAACTTAATGCCACCTACTTTGTATCCAAAAAGAGTGAAAACAAGTATCCATTTTCATTTGATATCCAAGGCTCATTGAAACACCTTTTATCTGTCTACGTCTCTTTTGAAAATATTTGTTTTCTTACTTTTCCTTCCTTAAATTTTCTTTACTGGCCCTGCTTCATAAGGTTTCACCCAGTGCCCAAAGCATTATCAAAAAACAGTCACCTCTCTATACATTACATGTAAATTATTCTGACAGGCCATATGTTATAGATAAGTGTCAGGAGAAAGCAAATTTATTCTTAATATTAGTGAAAAGACAACCAGATTAAGAAGACAAAGACCCAAGTAGGGACACTTTTAGATGATAAAATCCTATCTCATTTATGGATACAAAAATTCATATATATTAACTATTAATAAACTTAGTATTTATGATAATAGTAAAAGTGTGGACGGTAGAAAATGGGTTTGTAATTTATGTCTCCTGTATTTCAAACTTAGATTTATATTGTTATATTTCAATTGTCTCTTAAGACTTCTAGTATTTAACAAAGCCCACCAAGAATGTTTATTCCACTCTGGCCCCTTAAAAGCAATCTGGACACACACATGTTGGCTAGGCGTGGTAGCTCACGCCTGTAATCCCAACATTTTGGGAAGCTGAGGGGGGGGGCAGATCACTTGAAGCCAGGAGTTCGAGACCAGCCTGGCCAACATGGCAAAACCCGTCTCTACTAAAAAAATATAAAAATTAGCCAAACATGGTGGTGCGCACCTGTAGCCCCAGCTACTCAGGAGGCTGAGGCATGAGAATCACTTGAACTTGGGAAGTGGACGTTACAGTGAGCTGAGATCGTACCACTGCACTCCAGCCTAGGTGACAGAGTAAGACTCTGTCTCGAAAAAAAAAAAAAAAAAAAAAAAAAAAAAAGGAATCTTGTCACATCTACACTAGCCTATTCTAGGAGAGTGAAAACCAGACACACGGCCAAGTCCAAGAAGTGGATCTAAGGTGAGTCCAAACCCCTCCAGCTGACCCCTCTCCTCACCCTGCATGACTGCTCTCTAACATACCATTGGCTGTACCTCCCAGTGCCCTGATCCTCCTGAAGCTCCCCATGTCCAAGCACTATTTATGAACCTGTTTTTCTGGCTCCATCTCAGCAAACCCACTGGAATATGATTGTGGATTTTCCTTCCAACTCCATGTGCGTCAGGTGGGAATTTCTGATTTTCCCCCACCCCGGTTGCCTTTTCCTGCAATCCTCCCTGCTAAAGATTGGGAATGGACTGACATGCCTCTCTATTTTGTGTTGTCTGGAGAGATTTGTCAGGTTATTGATGTTACTTTTTAATTCATTCCTTGAAAGTGATGGGGCTATGCTAAATTCAATTGATCAAGTTGCTTATTTTTCTGCCTTTTCTGGTAATTGAAAGTACTTAAGTTTAATAAAAATGCAATGTGGATTTTACAGAGATAAGATAGTCGCTGTTCCAGCAGAACGTTTGCCCATTTTATTCGCTGCTCTATTCCCAGCAACTTAAAACACTGGCAAAGAGTGGGTGCTCAATATATATTTATGTGGAAAAGAGATGGGGACTCATTTATCAGAAACAGAATGTAAACTAGTAAAATACTAACAACAATAAAGACAAGGATCCAGGGAATCACTTTACAGCAGAATTTGGTTGAATCGCGTGAGTTCCTTTTGCCTCAAGCACTGACCATAGAGGGATATCAAGTATTTTCTAATGAGTTTTGCTAATTTCAGGAGGTTAAATGAAATTCTTAGCCAGTAATAAATAGATGAGAGAGGGAGAAAAAGAGAGAAAGGGAGGAAGGGAGGGAAGAAGGGTGGAAGAGAAAGATAGAAACAAAGAGAAAAGAGAGAGAGAGCAAGTTTGACCCAACATCTGAAAAAAGTAAAGGCAAAGAAACCTAAAGACATAACCCACCTTCACACTGGTCACCCAAATTTAAAACAACAATTTTAAATTTAAGAAAAGTATGGTGGTTAAATTCTAATTGTCTAGATTAGTGCTGTCCAATAGAAATGTAATGTAAGCCAGAAATGCGAGCCACATATGGATTCTAAAATTTTCTGGTAGCCACATTAAACAAAGTAAAAATGTACAAAGTAAAAATTTAATTTATAAATTAAAAATTTACAGTAAATTAATTTTAATAATGTATTTTACTGAGCTTAACATACCCAAAATGTTGTAGGTTCAACACGTATTTAATTTTTAAAAATTATTAATGAGATATTTTATACCACTTTTTCTTGTACTGAGCGTTCAGTATCTGGTGAGTATTTACACTACAGTCCCTTTCAATTTGGAAAAGCCACGTGTGGCTACTGAATGAATGAGATTGTGCGGTCTAGAAGCAGGTGCGCCCCTTCATCAATTATGCAGAAAAATCTTTTGACCCTGGACTTTCTTTCATTTAACACCAATACATTTTTCAACTCTCACCAAAATGGCTTAGCTATGCTGTCATGATGCAGCTTTACTTTTAGGTGAAGTAAACTCAGTGTTTCCAGCATTACTATAGCACAATCGAGTTTGCTCAGTTGTGAGAACAGGAGACTGACCTAGATTATTTCTAAGGCCCATTCTCAACCTAAAATCTTATGATTATATCAAAAACATAAAAGAAAAGCACTCTGTTTAAATAAGATATCATTATCATTAATTGTGGTATTCAGAAAGTAAATCTACTCCCAAAGTAACCAAAATGAAATACAATCTCAAGATAAATAATTTTGCTATGAGTTCTCGGATTATCAATGGAATTTTATTCCCAGTAATAATGATAATAGTCATTTCTAGGAAACATTTATTGAATGCCATAATGCCATTCCATCTTCTACCCTTCCCCACTCTTCGCCTCCACTAAACTATCCACTTAAGTACCAGAATCCTTTGACAAAATTAACATATAAGCCCATGAATTTTCTAAATGCAGCCTTTGCACAGAAGAATTAAGGAAGCTTACCAATTATTGTCAGGTAAAAGCCAGCCACTATATCCGCTTCCCAAGAAAGTTTGGAAGCAAAGGGATCCCCATCTCGAAGGTAATGTGGCAGGCGCTCATCCTGAGGCAGGGCAGTGTGATTTAACGCCATTCTGTTCTCAAACCAGGAGGAGTCTGAAAAGCAGACCAGAAGAGATCTCAACAGACACGAATAAGCCAGCTTGAACCATTTCATAATCGTGGCTCCTGTTTTAAAACAAAAAGCAAGTTCCCAGGGTCATGCATGATTCTCTAATTAATAACTGGTAAAAATGTTAACATTTTTTTCAATGATCCAATTATGTCATTACTCAATTATTCAATTGGCAGATTATCTAAGCCTTCATTTTCTCCTTTGGAAGGGTCATTCCTTTGGCATGATTGTTACTATTTGTTTTGAAAGGGGAAGAAATACTAATGTGGCTGTTTCTCTTTTGAACTTGCATATTTCAAATGGAACCAATAGATGTCACTGTTCAGCTCTCTAGGCAACAATTACAGGCATTATATCAGGCAGCAAGTGAACAGTTGTGTGCCTCACAGGTGGTGACAGGGTGATCGATCGGCAGATATCTAACCATGTAATTCACCTTTGCAAAGACATGAATTTAACCCCTTTCTAACTGCCAATTTACAACTTACAGAGGAAGCCTAGTGACCCTATCAGTGGCCAGTTAGCTAAAACTACTGTCTCCTACACACAATTTGAGGACAGTCATGTGCTAATGTTCATTCCAAATCCTTCTCCCTGAGGTGGTCATAAAGCTATAGGAGAAATCTTTGGCTGCCAGCTGCACCACATCCCAAGACCTACCCCAAGTCAAAGTTTATCTTTACCTTTCAAACTCCTGATTCCCCTTTGACTGCCTCTTCTTCTGGTAAACTCTCTCCTCCCCAAAGATTCCCCCTACCCAGCTGGCTGTCCAGTCCTGTCCTCCACCTTAGATTCAGAATCATAAGAGGAGGGTTGGAGTCCAACTCTGATACCCACTCTCTGATCTTGAGCAAATTATTTAACTCTCTGAACTGCAACCACTTCATCTGTAAAATGGGCAGTCTCCTTACCCATCACTCAGGTTTATTGTAGGAGCAATAGGATATTGGATTCAAAAGCACATTATGAATGGGGGGTCCTGTTTATTTATTATATGCTGAGATGCTTACTGTTCCCAAACTTGCCCATCCATCAAGATATAGCTCTTGTATGACAGATTTCCTCAGGGTGCCATGCCGAATCAATGTGTGCTTGTGTGTTAACTCAAGTATTCACTGAACATCTACTATAAACCCAGCATTTTGAGGTAGGATAACAGAGGTTTACCATGTTATCTAGACTTAGGGAGGATATCTATCATTTTGGACAGAGAAAAGATACAACCAGTGATCAGAAAATATAATAATAATACAAGAACATAAAACAATAAAATGCTGCTTTATTTGGCTTTAGACAATTGTTTTTGAGGTAGAGTCTCACTCTGTTGCCCAGGCTGGAGTGCAGTGATGTGATCAGTGCTCACTACATCCTCCACCTCCTAGGCTCAGGTGATCCTCCCAACTTAGCCTCCCGACTAGCTGGGACCACAGTTGCATGCCACAATGCCTAGATGATGATGACTATTATTATTATTATTTGTAGAGACGGTATCTCTCTATGGTGCCCAGGCTGTTCTCAAACTCCTGTCCTGGGCTCAAAGGCTCCTCCCACTTTGGCATCCCAAAGTTCTGGGATTACAAGTATGAGCCACTGTACCTGGCCTAGACAATAATTTTTAAAGCAAGGAAATAATCCTGTTTTCTGAGGAATTAACTAGATTGTGTGTATAATATCAAGAATTGTCCTTCCTATATCTAAAAGTATCCAGGCCTTGCACAGCCTAAGACTCGATATGTTAATAATGAAAATGATAACATAAAACTTCACTTGAGCCCCCAAGGGGCTTTAATAAGCAACAAAAACTGTAGAGAATATTTTCAGTGAGAAAATGACATGAGCTAAGATTTGGAGGAAAAAATGAACATAGAGTGTATGAGGGATGGAAGAAGAGTCATTCCATGGGAACAGAGTTCATGATGGTGGGAAATGGTAGCCATCGGGATCTTGCTCTGTAGAAACTTGCCTGCCTGGCAGAAGAGTTGCTTTTGACATATCATATGTGGACTTATTTTTTTTCTGACACTGATCAAAATTAATGCTATTGTTTAAGTTTGGAAATATAGTATTTGAGAGTGTTTCTAGTTCTTTTCAAAGACATAACTTAGACACAACTCTTCCTGAGGAACAGTGAGAGAGGCAGAGAATCCTAAATGCATGGTTATTTGGGAATTCTTTTTTTTTCCCACTCTTCTTTGTGCATTACAAGCTCATCTTGCAACTTCACACTTTACACATATTTTCCCCTATATGTAATTTGTGTTCCCTTTCTTCTCAGTCTATCCAAATTCCACTTGACCTTCAAGCTTTTATCCAAAGTCTATATCCTTCAGAATATAAAACTGGCTCCTTCAATCGCTACTAAAATACAACTAGGAGAAATTAATCCTGCTTAATTTCCTTAATTCTTCCTCTGGTTTACCTACACATGAGTAAAATAACTTTCAGTTCATAAAGAAATTAGAGGTACCAGTGCATAGTATGGGGTCATTATCATTATTTTGTTGAGGAGCTATTTCATCATTGATACAGAATTACACTTTTCGCTGAAAACAGGCTATAGCAATGTAGCCATCATAAATATTTTTGCAGAACACTAACTGTACTACTTAAAATAATAAACACAACACATAGTCATGACTGTATTTGTTCAGAGATATGTTTTAGAGAATTTCTTTTTCAGTATTGAATGTGCCTGAATTACGTTTATCTGTATTGAATGTGCCTGAATTACCTCATTGTGTAAATAAAATAGAGTCATTTGTCGATTCCTTCCCTCTTTTACCTCCTGTATTTGAAGATTGCCTACTGCTCGCAGTAGATAGATGCTGTCCTATCTGCCTTCCCAGGTGGTCAGGACCCTCAACACCACATCCCCCAGTTCCCTGGGATGGTATCCTATGATCAAACCCATGGTTCCAAATCAGCTGCATATCTGAATCTCTTATGTACTTATTTTTTATTTTTTGTATATTGTTATTGTTGTATTTTGTATTGTAGCTACTCTTTAGGTACTGTAGTCTGAGTACAACTTCCAGAGTCTATGATATCATTTCCAAGAGGATCAAATAGTACTCAGTTTGTCGAATTTTGTAACCATGGAAGCTTTCCGTTCTTGCACAATATTTCATGGCACTATTGTTGGGGAAACAACATATGGGGGTTGGAGGAAAGTATCCTGTTTAAAAGTGGAGGAGAAACTAAATGACTTGTCAAAATTTCTGCTGAATTTACGATTCTGTGAAAGATATAAATGAAATTTCTTGGAGTAAGTTGTATGTGATTATTCATGTTAGCATAATCCTTTAAGCCATAAAATATACTCCACTGCTCTCACATCTGCTAATCAATGGTCTTTTGGACCATGAATAAAGCTTCCTAAGACTGTTCTCATAACAGCTTATTACAGAAAAAGCTGAAAACATCCCCACTCTTCATCACCCATGAAAGTTTTTCATATCTTTTGAGTTACTAGAATCAGCCTTTTAAAATCCTCTATTATTCCACAATAAAAAATTAAAGAATATCTTTAGATGTAGCCAGAAGTCCTCATGTCCAAACTGAAAGGACTTACAAAATAGGTATAAGCAGATATGGAAAAGAGAATGGCACAGTTTCCCCTCCTAACAGGAAATAAATACAAGTTTGTCCAATAAACACAAGAAACAGAGTCCAATTCTGTTAGACTCTATCTAGTCTTAAAATTATCTTCAAAAAATATTTGGCAATAAATTTCCCATTGACCTGCTAAATTTTCCCTGGTTTAATGCAGGGAAGACCAAAAAGCATGGGCAGTGTGGAGAGCCACTTATGTAAAGTATCTGAAAGCATCCTACCCAGAATGGTCTTCCCCACTGGTCTGCTCTGGCTTCTGAAACTTTTGCTATTTTTTGCCTGAAGCATTATCACCAAGAAATTTCTTGCTAGGGATATATAATCTGAGAACATGAAATCTGAATCCACCAGAATCCATCAAAACTTTAACATAGTTTCTGAAATTAGTTACTTGAAACCTAGTAGAAGCCAACAGACCTCAAAATAGGCGTGAGATGGTGCAGAGGAGTAAGTTGGAAACAAACATCGAAGACCAGGAAATGTCCAGGAAGCTAACAAAGAAACAACCACAAACTAGAGAAAAGATGTCCAAGAAAGATAAACAGTTAATATTCAATATCTAGAGGTAAAATGTGCTCAGTGTTAAGCCTGATAAAACGTAAGTAAGGAAACATAATTTACTAAAAATTTAGAAATCCTTTAGCTGGTTTACATAGGCCTTTATCAAGTGGGTGATTGTTCGTTTCCACTACTGTCTAAAAGGATTACCCACAATAAACCTACAGGTAAAAGAGTTTGTGGTCAGATTCATTTTTATACCAACTTCAGAAATTTGTGCCAGCCCCTAGGCTGGTGTCTGATGATAAGGACCAACTATTCAGGACTAATCTTCTTTCACTCAACCCCAGTGAGTCAGCTGGCATGGGCCATGATTGTGTGCAGGGATGACCACACTGAAGACCAGCAAGTTTTTCTGGTCGTCCAGGGATGACCACACTGGAGACCAGTCAGTTTTCCTCTGACTCCTTCTGCATGCTAGCCTCTCTCCTGTCTCTATCGGACCTTAAGATTTGACCTCCCCATTTGAGCACCACAGTGGTTTCAAGAATCTCCCCTTTCCTTTCCCATCAAACTGTTCTCTAAAAAAATGGAATTGATAAATCTCATTGACATGGTACGATATTCATAATACACTTTGCGGAAAAGCACTAATTATCAAAAAGTTATGAAGCATTTTTAAGTGAGAAAAACCATAAAGGAAGATACCTAGACATATATATGCCAAAGGGTTAAAATATATTTTTATTATGTATAGTGTTAGCATGGTTATGATGTGTAATGATGTTAGGAGTAATTCTTTCTTTACTTTTCATTTGGAGAGTGAGGACACTTGGTAATAAAGGCACTTTTGAAATTGTTTAAAAATGGCATATTACTTTTGCAATATTGTCTTTATTTTTAATAAAGATTTATTACAAATTATAACATTAGTGAAATTGCTACACCCATCCATTTATTCATTCATATATTTATTTACCATAGATTATGTGCAGGCCCCTACTCAGTCTATAAATTACTTCCCTTGGAAGTTTGCCAGTAATGAGATGGCTTACAGAAGCTGAAATTGAAGGTTTTTCTGCAAAAGACCTACTCACAGCCCTGAAATCTCCCCACATAGGTAAGCAGCTCACATCTGTGCTCTAAGCACGTGCTAGCACTGCCTTGGATGTTTGTCAGCCAGAGGTCACAGCTTAAGGATTTTCTTCCTAGTAATTGTGTCTCCTCTTGCTCACGAAATGTTCTATAAATTCAGTATATTTAAGCCATGCTATTCATAATTATTTTTTTCTGTGTCAGCATCTACACATGCTTAACATGCAATAAGCTATAATGATACCAATACTGATATGTCATAGATCTGTTCTATATTCCAGTGAAAAGATTTGGATCATTTTTGCATCTACTATATAAGGATATAGTGTTTTTCTTTTATACATGAAAAGAAAAACCTGAAAGCACCTTGGCATGCAAAATAGCAATCAAGAAATAAAATCAATAGTTTGGGGTCTCAAATACCCCAATCCAGGTCTCCAGAGGGGTAACCTTTACCTATTAGCTAGTGCTAATGAGATCCTTGCCTTCTCTACAGGGGAAATGTTCACAGCCACAAAGAAAACTAGTAATTAGCTGAGGTTTTCTGTCAAACAGAAATGCGCATACACTTTTCGGGCTTTTCTGCCATGGTTCAATATAATACTAGAGAAGAAAATAAAAGAGTAGTATTTTTTTCCACATAAAACTTAACTAAAAATAGGGCAGAAAACATGGAAAAGAAGGGTGGGAGAAAGGAAGGGAAGTAGGAAGGCAAGAATCTTTTTCTCTACAGAACCAAGCCAGCAAAAGAGCAATCAATTCAATTCAATATTTTCTAAGCCATGTAAAAAACGGGCAGAGTTGTCTGTTGAGAATAATAAACTCCATGCCAATTTATTCCTAACCAGTTCAGCTTGAAACAAATTGACAAATCTAAGGTAATAGGAGAATTATAAGAAATAGACAGATCTGCTCTAATATTTTCTTAGATTGATAATATTTTAAGTGTCAACTGTCATGTAATGACTACTATTTTATCCAGCTTCTGAATAGTAAGTTTCAAATT